TGTAACTGTTACAAACGCAGATAGCGATTTATGATATAACTACATTTAGGTAACGAAAAGTAATAGAAACACGTGTCTAAAAAATGTAAAATTTAAAAATGTTCCACGACCCACTAAAAATATAATCGCGACCCACTTGTGGGTCGCGACCCACAGTTTGGGAACCTCTGGGTTACATTGTTTGTCCGGTGATTTACATATCTAAAATCTAACACTCATATGTGTTATATAAAATATAAATTATATAGGGAAGGTGCAATGGTAAAAGGGAATTAGTCCATTTTTATAAATAAAAATATTTTGTTTTGTTTTGTAGGCAACCTTACTTTGGTTGCAATTTGGGTATCTTTCTTTATAATTTTGTGAAGAATGAGATAATCAAATTTAAACTATTAGGTACTTAATACAATAATTCAGAGATTTTATTATCATCAACCCAACATTTTAACTCTACGTATTATTTTCTAGGTATTATACCTACGGGGTGCCGCCACTGGGTGACTTCCCCCTCCTGTAAACCAAATCGTCATCACATTTACTTATTGTATCACATGTAAATACAGATTGTAAATATATTATGTTTGTTCAATAAAAAATAAAAAAAAAAATTAAAAAAAAAAAAGGTATTATACCGTGTTATATACTGTTTTAACACTTTTAACTAATATTTAAGTAGGTGGATATATAATATATATTATATACCAGTTTAATAAAGATTTTATTTGATTGATGTTTGAAGGGACTATTTTATTTTATTTTTGAATTTATCTTCCTTCTTTACCTACTCTTTTGGTTCATATTTAAAATTACAGAAAGTTCATAATATTCCATATTTTAGTTTTTCTATAATTATATCATATTATGGTTAAACTTAAAAGTATTTTTTCAAGAAATGGGCCTGCATATGACCGGTTTTTTGTTAAAAATACATGCTTACAAAAAAATACAATGGTTTAAGATAGCAAAAACTCCTCGTAGAGTGACCCGATTTCGATGTATTATATATATTTATTTTTTTTGAAAAAGAAAATTTTCTCATGGAGTGATCTATTAATAATCTATTATCTTCATCTAGATAATATTTTAGTTATCTATTCCCAACACTGTATTACGACTAACACTAACGCCACGTACGGTGACGACGAGATTGCATATTTCCTGAATATTGCCCCTTATTAAATAAACACGAGCAGGGCCATTAACATTTCTATGGATAATAATTTATTATCTGTAAATAAAAATATTTTATCCTCCCTTATTTTTTCAGGGAATTGCTGATAATTTTCCTCGAGGGCTATAATAATATTACTTTTAAATTTACCCGTGAAAAGAAATATTTTATAATAATACAATGAATTATTATAAAAACCTATATGAATCATATTTTATTCTTAGACTGACTTAGACGTGTAAACAATTAAACGTTTATTAATAATTGAGATACCACTTCAGTTAAAATATGCACGTTGTTTGGAATTCTTTTATAACTATAGGTAATAATAATAAGTATGTTAATAAAAACATTTTATCCAAAATTATAGACATGTTTCTCACGAGTTTACTTGGAACATAAAGGAAATAAGCTGCATAATGGTAAACCTACTGTTGGAATATTACAAGGCGTAAGACTGCAATTTTCTTTAGAATAACAGTAAAGTTGTACATATGTTGAGGTTGGAATTCGTAAGAACTAAAAAAAACCTATCTATACTTCAAAAACGCGTTGTGTGCAATTTAACTTCTTTTATAACGATTGTAACTATATATAATATACATATTTCCATGATGCAAATAATAATAACTTCACTCATTGTTATAAAGTTGACGAAAATGTCTAGACGGAGTTCATATTACAATTGACATAACAGTAACCTATTTCCCTACAATATTTCTCATATACCTATAAACATTTATCGAATTATTATTTACATTTTACACGATAAAAACTAACTATATACATTTTATAGAATAATTTTAGTCAGGGACAGTCATATTGTGTATTAGAAATTATTACAGTATCAGAGTATGTTTGTATTTATGATTTTCATGATCGTAAGGATTACATTTTCAATGAAATGGAAGAGTTTTGATATAATTTTAAAAACAATTCATGTCTAAGTTTATAGATTGGAGATTGCATTCGGGGATTTATATCTATATATTATTATATAGTAATAATATTGTAAGAATAAAGCAGGTAAATGTTTAGTTGCCTATTTGGAGTGTTCCTGAATAAGCTACTGATGAGTTTAACGGACACCAAGTTGCCTAATCTAAATTTGACGGGGGGCCTATTTAAAGTATTGATATGCTTAGGTTTACTTTAATATGCTCCACATCAGGCATAATATAAACTAGAAAACACTTATAATACATTTTGACGAACTCATAATGCAATAATACATATTATGCGGTCGATGTGGCTAGGTTATGCCTTGTAATTGATTAAAATTAGTAACGTCATATAAATTAAATATTTAACTTTTAATATTGTACGTAGCTATAAATTACGATTTTAATAATATGTTGACACATTTGAAATTTTTTAATATAATGAAAACAAAAAACGATTATAAGAATTTATTTAACTTCAATACACCGGTATCTGAACTTCAAATACACGTGACTACAGCGGTAACAGGACTATAATATAGAAGCACTTCGCTGGGCTTTAAAACCTGTATATTGATTGGACTTAGAGTGCCATGTATTCGATACATCGCAATTTATATTTGGAAGTATTAATAGAAAAGCTTTTATTTTTTCTGTGAAATTGTAACTAATAATTTATGGGAAATTTTAAACTTAAAAAAATTAAATTAAATTAAATCAATGCTAGGTTAGGTAATAATAAAATACTTCTTTTGTGCAAACATTGTACGCCTGTGTAATTTACCCAAAATAAATTACAATAAGCCAATAACATATGATTACATACAACAATACTGTTTGCGTTTCTATTTCAACAATGACAAGAGTTCGTATTATGCAATTAAAAATAATTTTAGTAATTACTAGTAATGTGCAACGAACGTGTATAGTTATACCTTATGAATAATAGGCACTTGTTATTCAAATATACAATGTCATGTTACCGATATACAATTTGAGATTAGAAATTCACTGATTTTGAATTCAATTTTTACTTAAGACATGACATTAATAACGTAATTTCACAAGGAGACAATTTAAAATTGCAGTAAACCGGAAATTAGTATTTTAAGAAACGAACTGTATATAGACATACTTCAGTGACCGGAAGTTAGACACTTATCCGGCCTCGATCACTTCGACATACGATAAAGTATTTTCTAATATTTAATTTGAAAACCACAATAAACTATAGAATTAAAAATATATTATGACATCCTAGGTTCTGAACGGAGCAAAGAATGTATTTTCTATTTCTTCTACAGTTTTTTGTTGTTTTTCAAATCTTGTCGCTAAGAAAATTCAATGAGAAAATAAAAAAATACTTCATCGATATAATAACATGGATATTCTTTTTAAACTCTATTTCCAGTCATTATAATCGTTAGTCGTTAGTCGTTACAAATATCAAAATATATTTAAAACTTTAATATTTTTAGAATTTATTTTATCATAGTAGAAATTCGCTAGACTAAACCGGTTTAAAATTATCCCACATTATCCCTCACTGGGATAATGAACCATGTAAATGATATGGTCAAACATCCTGGTACATTATTTTTCACACCGGAATTTCTATATAGTAGTAAGTAATTACAAAAAATAATGTTAGTAAAACACCATTTTAAAACCAATATAGCTCCACTCAGAATATACTAAAAACAATTTTTCCATGTAGGTACCCACTTATATTTTGTATCATAATAATAATAATAATAATAATAATAATAATAATAATAATAATCTTTATCAACTTCATTAATGAATAAATATTTAAAATTTTACAATAATTAACATATGCTAAGATAAATAAAAAATAATATTATACATTTAGAATTTTATTTTTTATATCTTTAAGCAAGATTTGTAATGTCTAAAAGGAAAACTAATTTTTCTCAGAAATTGTTGATCCTCAAAGTTATCTTGAGTCTTGAGTTCTTCATCAATTAAAAGCTTTAACGCAATCTAGGTATCATATAATGATAATAATATATACATCATATATATATCATATAATATATAATATAAGCCCCCCCTCCAAAAAAAAAAAAAAATATTTTGTATATTAAATAATATATTATACCATATTTTCATCAATATATGTTAGATATACATACACATAAATAGTTCAATTAGTATGTTATAAGGATGTACGTATACGTATGTGTGAAAATTGTTTACTTGTGTGTAAAGAAAGTAAGAAAATGTTTAAGCCTCCCCCCCAAACAAAAATCCTGGGTGCGTGCTTGATAATAAGTCAGTCGTTGTTTGATCATAGTTAAGTATATCGTGAAATATTATTATAATATAATATTTTAAATAAATATTGTCAACCCAAATGATTTTTTATACTTCATGATTATTGTAACATATTATATTATATAATAATATTTATTTCACACTTACTAATTCAGATTACAGATTTATAAACACATCATAAGAGATGTCTGTTCAATTATAGATTTCCCTGGTATAAAATCTAATATAACTTTTGTGACGTAATTATATATAAAAAAATTATTATATTTAATATACCTAATAGTTTCTTATTTACAAAATGTAATATTGAGATAAAAGGAATGAGTTGACAGGGGTATTACTTGTAATTGTAGTATTATACCACGGTAATCTGAACTTGACACCCCGTACTAGTACCTTATATTAAGGTACTTTGTTAAGTGTAAACAAGAAACTATTGGTTCAATATTTGATATTCAGATACAACATTTGAAAACAATAAAATGTAATTTCAAATAATAAATTCAAAATTCAAATTTAAATTGGAAAAAAAATTCCTATAATATTATAATCTATTTTTATTTACTGTGGTTATTATAATAATCTCTTACCTCCAATATTTTGTTGTTTAACATCTTCGGGAAAGCGAACCATCCGACAAAAACGCCAAACAACAAAAATATGATACCAATAACGGTAAGTGTCGTCGGTGCTCCCATATCAATAGAATATCGATGTGGCCACCACTGAATAACAATTAGTCGTTGCCTCCAAACACAAGTCGCAGTGGCTTCCGAATATGATGCGTTAATGACGGAATTCTGTCACTTTATATATTCAGATGTGTACAGTATAATAGATCTACACAATAAACATATTATTATTATGAGTACCTAACGGTCAATAGAGATGAACTATGCTAATATTATGTAAGTATTCCTTGTAAATGACTGTCCATGGAAAGGTAATCGAAACGACATAACGATGTTATATTGGACACGCCACGCTACATAAATTCTATGCGTGGTCTTACAATAATGTTGTGCAGACTTTTCGGTTATTATAGAATTTAGGGTGAATATTGCAAAGTGGTCCACACAAGTTATACGATAAATTCGTCGTCTTCGATTTTCACACAGAGTCTTACCGAAACGACTAAACTAATTTTAACTACTTATAATTAGAATTATGACTTTGTGATTTCAAAAATAAAACCAGTACGATATTAATATTAATAATAATATGACCTGTACCTATAAATGTGTTGGATTCGCTTATTATGTCACGTACCAAATGGAATAATCTGCGACGACGTTAAACTATATTCGCAGTAGAACGAGTGGGCACTGCGCAGTGATCTTGGTCAGTGTCTAGTACTCGATTGCAATTTTTTCTTTTCTTTGATCTTTCAACCTGTGTGTCGCCAGACAGACAGCCTGCTCAAATTGTTGGCTCACTGACCGACCGACCGACCGACCAACTTACTACTACTGGCCGCGGTCGGCGCACAATACGCGAACCGATTCTTCGGTCGAAAATTTCAAGGCTCCTATAGCGCGTAAGTGTGGTGTATTTTAGACGATCGCGTGGAATACGGTATTGGATACGGTCGGGGCGTCTATAATATTATACAGCGGTATAGAACGCATACTATCAACCGTAACCCATCATTAGTACGCAGTTCTTTTTCCTACAGACAATCCGGTGACATCGTAAATAAATTATGATACGACAACGGGGCCCCACCGTCGCCTCAATCGTTCGTGCCATGTCCCCCGCGGCAACCCCAATCACTCGATCCCTGTCCTAACATATTATACATCATAATATTATTTGTAACAATATGATATTATTATTGTAGGTATGTTAATTAGATTGAAAGTATATATTCGTGGGTATATAATATTTATTATTATGTATATTATAAGACCAAACGATTATACACTATTATTATATAGTACAGTGTAATAATAATATGTCCTTAATATTAATCTAATATGCAAGTATAAAGGCATAGAGTTTTTTTTTTAAAGTTTAACTTCTATATAATATTATAGTCTTTGCCCTTTGGTGACGGCGGCGGCGGCGGGTTCACTGATACACGCATACGGAGTTGCCAGCGATAATTAACATTAATTGTTTGTGTGGTGGCAGAAACAATAATAATAATAATAATAATATAATGGTAAACATTTTGGGTCGGACTAACGGCCCCAGCGGGTGAGAATAATGACGCCGTTCTTTCGGTGACCGATATTATAAACCTATACCGGTCAAACATGTCACCACAATGACATATAAACTGTATATTAAACAGCACACAGATTACTCAAAACTTAGCTTGGATTCGGGTGTTATGAATATTCTGACTAGTATATTGTAATAGTTACACTAATATGAATCATATTTGTAATTAAAAGTGGTTTCAAAAAGAATATTTTTGATATCGAAATCTAATCTATCTATTATAAATATCAACACGAACAATAACAGATATACGTAACGATGATAATGCACTTTTCTTATAAATGTATACGAGGCCTAAATCAGCGTAGTACCTATAAGTATTTCATTTTATATCAACGATACGCTTCGTCTTATATATTTTGAATTAAATATCTATTTCAAACTCTCCTTGAAGGTTAATACATTATTAAAAGCTTCATAATATATTGGTTTCTAGATAGGTAAGTACCAACAATTAAATCACATATACAATTATATTGTACATACATTTCTCCAGGCATTTAAAAAACATTTTCAATTGCGCATAATATACTGCAACATAAACGACCAACCAGCAGGACGTCAGTTGACTGAAAGAGGACTACTTGAAACCGCGTCATTACTCGATCAGAATAGTTATGATGAGATGAAAAATGATAAAACGGTTATAAATAAAACTCTTATTAGATATAATAATGCTAGTGCTCAATAAGTTTTAAAATAATACACATAGATATATTATATTATTTTGTCAGTTATCCAATACCATGATTGTGAATAATATCATTACATATCTTTAGTCGATGCATACCGACCAATATAATACTATGAGTAATGAGTATTTGGCACCTACCTTTGTTTTATATAACGATAAGTGCTAAAACGCAGCACTGTGCACTCACTAAATGTCACTGAATAATCGAAGCAATTCAAGGAGATAGTTGAACGTATAATTAATGTGTAGAACTCTAATTTGGCCACAATATTATTAAAATGTTCGTAAAATTCTAAACGTCTACGTTTTTCTGACTGTTTATTATGCCCTCCCAAATAAATGTTAACGATAACGTCAATGAATGATCGATACGTACCTATACAATTTTAAATTTTTGTGGTACAATACGCGAATACAATTACAGCCAATACCCATGTACGCGTACCTATATAGGTTGTAGAGCCAAGAGGCAAGAGTATTGACTGGCTATTGTTATTATGCTCGTATTGTAATACACATATTTGAATTGCTGAATAATTTAATAAATTTGCTTTGTAGGTTCTTCTATTATTTAAAGCGATTTAAATAATCATAAATTCTACTGTTCTATATTATAGGTACTAGCTGATCCGGTGCACTTCGTTACCCGTTAAATGTACCAACTCTGTATGACTCAAACTTTGTTCAATTCGTTATTTAATATTTGGTGTATGGTGTTCAAAATTTATCTTAACTTTTCCGTTGCCCGGAATAAAAACAGTTACGAACAACTTAAAAAAATTTGAGCCAAATCGGACCAGCCGTTCTCGATTGATGAGGTAACGACATTTTTCACTATCCATTTTCATATATATAGATTATGTGTGAATAGAGACATACAGTAGTACTACATAATTTTTGTAACATAAAAATATGAAATTTGAATACCTATATACGTGAAAACGATAGATAAGGGTTTAGATAAAACTCACCAAAGACTGGTGCGTACAAAGTATATAACACAAAAAAGTAAAAACTAAGGTAACATAATATAATAATATAATACAGTGGTCTCAAATACGTGGCCCGTGATCCCTTTCAGGGAGACAATAAACATTTAGTTTAATTTTAAATAAACGTTTATAACTTCAAACATGTTGATGAAAATAAATAGTTATTAACACATTCGCAGAGTCTAAAAAATAATTGTGACACGTTCTAGGCGTTTTATATTTTGCTAGAAACTCAACCAATTCGAATATTATTAATATTTCAAAAAAAAAAAAAAAAAAAAATCAAAAATAGTTATTCAAAATAAGATAAGACTGAAATAATAAGAATTTTCTGAAGAGACGTTTGTGCACATTAAAATATTACAGTATCACTACAAGAAATGAATTCGGTCTTAATTTAAGTATTTTATTTATTTTGGATTTATTGTGAATAAGATGAGTAAAAAAAAGATATTTCGACCTCGAACCTTTGACGTATACATATATGGCCCGCTGGTAATTTGATTTTGAGACCACCAAATTATAATACATACGAAAAAAAATATAAATATTACCATTGGTCTTAGAATTGTTTTGTACCTTTAATCTAAAATCAATAGTGCTATATAATTTATGGAACTCGATAAATGTCCGTGCGTGTTGGAGACATAGGTGAGGTAAGGTGACTTTCGTAAATATGTTGATCAATATATTTGTTTCTAATTATTAATATTTTAGAACTATTGCGATGTTAAAAGCTAAAATTATTATAATTTGAATTTTAAAATGTTTAGCTTTACATTTTACCTATATTTTAAATAAAGCACTTATTAAAAATTCGTTTTAGTGTAATCAAAAATTGAAAGTGACAAGTTTTTACAAAACTATATAATATGAATGATATATTATGCAAAATAATATATCTTTAAAATTAAGTTATTGAAATTAAGAATTAAGACTATTAATATTTCAAATAGTTATGTAAGTTTAAAATTATTTTATTTACATTACAACCGAGTACCGAAACCAGAGAGAGACATTAAAATTTGGACCCATACAGGCGTATTAAGTAGGTAAGTGGGCAACGGGCAGGTTAGGTATACATAATAAATTATAATATTATAGGAGAACGACAAGAACCTGAGTGGCCTCCATAACAATGTTCATTACAACAACTACAACATTTACCATCGTTATCATAGTACAATGTGCATTATCATAAATGACGAAATCGTTCTTTGGTTGAACACTTGTTACACAACATGACCGTCGTCGTCTGTTTAATAAGTTATTAATATCATATAGCTATTAATACTTAATAGTCAACGTTTTCGATTTAAATTTAATAATTGAAAATCCATTGACGCACACCATATTATAATCAATCACAAAATATGTATTATCACATCATCGATTGTTGCTCTGCAGCAATCGCATACTCAATTTTAATGGACGCCTATAATACCTATATGAATTAATAAACATAGGTTAAAATCTATTATAGTAAAATTCTACTCCATTGTCATTCGAAATGTTGTTTGCTGACAGACAGGATATAGCAGCAGTTTGTTCCCAAGTTCACAAATGAATGAATGCACATTACAATTAAAAAAATTCACGTTATGTCGATGCATACGATGTACCTTATAGGTAATAATATTATGTAACTAAGTAGGAATACACTTGTGCTATTTTTATTTAAAAAAACATTAACATTAAATATTAAAATATATAGAAAATGTAGGTACATTTTAATCTAGCTAACATTTTATGATTTTTTTGACGTGGCGGGGGCGGGGGCGGGGGCCGTGGAGGGTTAGCGCACTGTGGGTGACATATTATCATGTAAAAAATTCCATCCCTATGGTTGGCAGAAAAAAAACGATGAACACTTATCGTCGTTTTGCAGTCATTCGGTGCTCTTCGTCTATTACGTCGAGTGCCAATATCGATGATTACAAAATATATGACAGCGCGTAAATGAAACGTGAGCGTTCGTAAGCTTTCGTCTGCAGGAAATCACACACACATACACAATTATGTAGAAGCAAACATATATTTATATAATCGCCTCATGGACGTGTAAGGCGTAGGCATAGTCTCGTGCACAAACGAACGCTAACCACAACCCGTTATGACATTAACAGTTTATTTTCATAAGAAATATTATAACCAAACGTGTGTATGTATACCTACCTATGTATACGTATGTAATTGTTAAAGTGTGAAATGACGTTGTTTCGCGAAATATCTAGGTAGTATTTATACACTAACTAAATTAAGACTATAATCCATATAATTTATAATTTAACTAGATATTTTATAAAATACCCGTGATCGTAACATTTATATTGTGTAAATTGGAAGTAGGTAGTTAGGATAAATGAGATTTCTACGCATGAACTGGTTGGTGTCGATTTCGCTATCGATAACAGGTAATTCAATCAAATTGATTATTTTACCTATTTAATAATGACAATAATACACACTGCCAGATAGTTTTTCAACACTTGTTAGTAAGCATCGATACTTATAATATATCCATCATTCATAACTAACGTACCTACCTATGAACATTTACTATTATAATGTAAGAACGGTATGTTGGGTAAATGGAAATGGAAATGTCACCAAAGTCAATATTGTAATAATAAATACTAAATAGTGAGTATTCCATGTTTCAAATTTTGGAGATTATTAAATTAACTTCATTTTTAAAACATTGTAAACAAAATAATATTACCTATTATATCGAAATTGTTGTGGGTATTTTCTATATTGTTTATATTTTTCATATATCTTTTTCGTCCAGATATCCTATAGAATATACACTTATTTTATACAATTTCTATATATAGTATTAATTTAATTTTAATGTAAATACTTTAACTAAAGAAGTTCGTTAAGCTACAAAATTACGGATTCCATACTTTAACGGTTACTATACCTGTATATTCATGTGCATTTCCAATTATTCGGAGACTACAAACTTACACAAAACAGTGTTTCTTTTTTAATCAAATTTAGTTCGTGTTGGGATAGTTGAGTTTATGTTTACGGTTTTATTATGCATAACGTACTAAAAAGCACGACAACTTATATAATATAATATTTTATGAGTTTATTATTTACATGACAACACTTTTGGCATTATTATTGTGTGCTATTTCGTGAAGTCCTACCCTCGAATGGCACGTCCAGATGAACAGATTTGACAAGATGTCTCGTTACTAGAATCAGGCGTATAGACCTTTGGTTGTATGTTTGGATGAAGAATTATATGCCGTTTGGGATATTCCACTTTATTCCACCAAAAAAAAAAACCATTTGGTCGAATAAGTATGAATAGGATTGTATAGATGAATTAATGTATATATCTATACCTGTGTACTATATATTATAATACATTGTCAATGTTTAAAAATAAAAATAATAATATAAAATTACGTACTTACAGTTAAAGTCATAATCAATTATTAATAATGAACTAAAACTTTAAAAAATAATATCGTAATATATAGTAATGTGCCTATAGTTAAAAATTAATAAAATAAAATCACATTCATATCAAAATCCATATCATACCCAAATAAAATTATAATAATATTATATCACAATATAATAATAAAAAACTTCACTGGCCCAAATGGAATATAGTATGACTATAATATTATGAGTCCACAACGGCCGTAATTTTGTTTGGTCAAAATAATTAGACTTGGCCATACAGCCACCACCCTTAGATCCAAACTCTGATCCATGTACTAATATAATTACTAATAACCATATTTGGTTTTCTTTTTAATTTACAGCTGCTTAAGAAATGGAAAATTATTTTTATTTCTCGTTAAATTTTTCTATATAGATCAAGCATGGAATATATATATATTTATAGTACTAATAAATTATGAACTATAGTAGAATATCATTGTAGGACCTAGGACCTAGGAAACTTGTATTAATTTGACGTAAAATCAGGCTTTTCGTCAAAACAAATACCTAGTAATCGTGAAAGCAACTTAGGGAGGACATGACGCACGTGTATTACAATATTGTAAATACGTAAAACTCGTTGAAGCAGACCAACAATGGGCGTACCTATTCCATTCAATCAAAAAAATAACCAATACAAAATCCTACTTCCAAATGTATCGTTTAGGTGGAATATAAATTACTAGAGGTAGCTATATATTAATATGCATTTGTATAATAGTACAATGTACACAATAGGTACATTTCTATTGGGGTATTATCTATACTATATAATAATATTATAAGGATTTGGATGTTTCAATGTTTGTAAAAAAATAAACTCAAAAACTACTGGATCGATTTCAAAAATTATTTCACCATTATAATGCTACATTATCCCTGAGTAATAATAAAGGCTAGTTGAAAAATGGTAAATTAGAGGTTCGACCAGAGGAGTTGCTCAAACAGTAATTTTGAGATTTAAGATGAAAATGTTTGTTTGTAAATGGTTGGGGGTTGCTATTGGTTTCAATAATAATAATTATAATCAAAGCGATACACCTGTTGGCTGTTGGAGCAGTGGCACTTCTATATGTATTTTAGTACAGAATCTGTGCGGCTTACGTTTAACAGAGTTTAAGAAGAGATAGGTCCACGGGTGTTTAATTTGTCACGGGCAATGCCGTACAGGATTAGCTAGTAATGTATAATATGATATGGAATAAAAAACATAAAATGCGTGTATTATACGTATATATGGGTTTTTATTATTGAGTCGATAAATTCAACACCGTAATAAATAAATTACATATAATGACATAATATAGGTACAACTATGCATGATTAAAGATTGTGAAATTTTCGACGGACACATCAACAGCATCAGTGTAGTCGGACGGTTGGTCTGTCTTTGGCACGTGAAATGTTTTCAGAATCTGAAAAAGAAACGCAAATGATATTTAAAACGCGAACCAGTGGTTTAGCGGATGGCGTGGTGCAGCAAACTTGTGGTTCACAATAATCAGCCGCCGTGAGCGGTTCACGTGCGCTGACTAAAACCGTCGTGGTAACATGTTACCGGCAACCAAGTCGACTTGAGCCGGCTGCACTTAAGGAGGGTTTCCACTATACACGTTTGCCGTGTACACGAAAAATGTTCAGCTATGTCCAACAACACGGTATCGTGGTTAATCGTGTGGTAACTTAACATAACAAACCAATCACAGCAAATGATTTGTATGCACGTGAACGCGTACATGTATAGTGGAAACCCGCCTTAACCTTTCGTGTCTCGCGTTTTTACATCATCTTAACGGGTCTATCGTTAGATTTGTAAAGAACCGGGTCATGTTACCACTCTGGGCAAACGGTATAAAAAATACGGTACGACGAATTAAAACTGACACACAGATGAGGCGTGCAGCCAGTTTTTGTTAAGCCGGATTCACAGCTGCGTCGTGTGTCATGTCGTGTCGATCAAATCGTACTGTGATTGGATATTACTTTTTCGGTATCATGTAATAACCAAGTGGCAACCGAGTATACCAAGAATTGACTACAACTCAACTTCTAAACCACATTGGTTACCAGTTGTAACCATATAATAACCAAGCCATCGCACGACACGACACACGACGTAGCTGTGAATGCGCCTTTAGACCGACTATTAACCAAGGTATAGTTTTCGCTTACCGTCATGTTGTCCGTTCAGCGACGGTGGTAGTACAATGGATGGGCTGGTGCGTAGGCCGGGGCGTAGGCTGGGGCGTAGACTGGGGCGCTGGCTACAACGGCTGGGTGCGAGATGCTGACGCTGGAGTAGGACGTGGCGGCGGCTGGTGCGTGGTAGACGGCCGGTGCGTGGTAAACGGCGGGTGCGTGGTACACGGCTGGTGCGTGGTACACGGATGGTGCGTGGTACACGGCTGGTGCTGGGTACACAGCGGGTGCGTGGTACACGGAGGGTGCGTGGTAAACAGCCGGAGCGTGGTACACTGACGGAGCGACGGCTGAGGATAAAATATACAGACGTGAAATAAATATAATATGATAAGTTAAACGATGATGGGAGTCACATTTAGTACACATTTGGAAAACCATTGCTATCATAGTCGTCCGGTTTCGAGAAGAATTAAACAAATAATCGGATCGATGGCAGAGACGTGAAATATTTAATCTCATAATGCTGTGATATATTATAATATGAGTAAATATCACCTTCGTAACTGTCATTACAATAATAATAACAACGACGACGAAGCGAGTGCGTTACTTACCGTAGATGGCGCGTTTGTCCTTGACGGATTCGGACTTGTCGGCGGCGGGCTTATCGGCGATCGGGGAGGCGACGGCGGCGGCTACGAGCACGAAAGCGATCAACACCTGAATCGGGGGGTGACAAAAACAAAAACGTTAGACAATAAGGTTTGTACGACAGAGAAGTCACAATAATAATAATAATAATATTATTAATGCTACTGCAGTAAAACCCTCACTGTGAATTGCATGATGGCGATGTTGGTTGTTGGAAGTGTTTATAATAAATAAATAAACTGCTTGTGGTGCGGTTGTCGTTTGTCTGAGACTTGGACGAGCTGCTGATGACTGATGACTTTGGACATCGGACGTACAACTTTTATACTTGGTCGCGGACGCTTAGCCCCCACCCACCTACTACCTACCCTTCTCCTTGACGACCGGCCTGGCGAAGCGGTTTCGCAAAGTTGCGTATATAGCATGCGACGAGATCGACATACCAACGCCGTCGTCAACTCGACCGAGTCCCAAAAACAGTAAAACTGGCACCGCACCCGGTTGGACGGTCACCAGATGTGGCGGGGTGGCAAGTCGGACTTCATGAGGCCACGTACACAATACCATGTCAGAGCATGAGTGGACGGTAGGGTAGGGTATGTAGGTAGGTACCAGCCATGTTGATTATTGCCGTCGTCGGTATAATATGATAGTAAAATAATTAACATCATCGCCGCCGTCGTGTGATATCGATACGATCGTCATAACAATAATATTATCTCGATAATGGCGATATTATACGCGGGCGGGCGACCTCGAACCGATGAACGTCTTTCGGCCCGTCACTGCGGCAGGACTAACGGGCACGGTAGCTGCAGTCTCTCCACGCCGGTTGGACCGCGGACGACGCGTCCGCTTGTGAGTCTACATCTATCACTTGGCGCTCACACAATGTTTTTATACCGGACAAGTCACTGCCGACGCGAAATTATTACGGAGAGTCTAGTGATATTTATTTGTTTTTTAGAAGTCAATATGGGTTTTTTACCATGATAATTTCAATGTTCACGACAATTTGAAAATGTGATCAAACATTTTCCTTTTTTTTTTTTTATTCCGTTGTTGAATAGTCGCGGTCGTCGATGACAGGGAATCCCGCTTCAGTAATTAGTAGTATACTGCCCTGAAATTAACACAAACCTAATCTACAACCTATAATAACTAACAACAAAGATAATTTAATAACATTAATTTAATGGACTTAAAAAGTTTTTTTTGAAAAAATGTGTAAATGTGTGCACTAAGTCATTGATTTTATATTGCTCTACGAAGCGATTCATTGGACGGACACCGATAACAATTATATTATTCACTCGACCCGTTATAGCGTTATTATATATATTATAATATAGTTTTCTGTAGCACACATGTTTTATCGGTCTTCTAGTTACAAATTTTTTTGTTTTGGTTTCATTATTATTCTGTTTTAAAATAGAAACCGTCAATTTTTCAATTTTAAATAATGGTGTTTAAAGTTTAAAAGTCAAAGTTAAGTGCAATATGAATTGCTCATCACTATTTTGGATATTTTAAACGTTTATTATTTATTTATTTATTTATTTATTCATAATCATAACAAATAACAATATTGCTCCAAAAATCAACATATTTTATAAAATTCGGCATTTAAATATTAATTATTCATCAAATATTTTTAGTAAAATGAATATTTTATAAATAAGAAGTTGAATAATAGAATTGACAATAAAAATAATAAGTGCTATAGGCAATCTAAAAAATAATCTATAATAATAGTTATTGTAAAATTAATAAATTATGAAAAATCCCTCTGTATGTGATTATAAAGAATATTCTTCGTTGATTTCAAAAAAGGCAATCATGGGTAATTATTTAATTAGTCTCCATTATTTTATGTATTGTTATTCAAGTACACAAGTCAACAATTGTTCTTATTTAATTTCTGAGTGGTTGAAATATTCGTATTATACTTAATACTTACTTATCAGTTGATGATCGTCGTTTTATTTTTCGTTCTATTCGAAATTAAAATTGTTTGCTCCATTTACGTCTTTATCTGGTTTTAAAAATAAGCATAAAAAAGTTTATTCATTTAAACAAACACCACGTTCAATAATTAATCTGTCAAACGAATAGTTTAGTTAGGTAGTTGTAAATCTAAATTATAATCATGTATTTAAGCTCTTCAAAGCATCCAAAATAAAATGTCAGCAAGGATTGAATTACTGTCAAAGTATAAGCAGAAAAAGTTTTTCTAACAAACCGATTTTAAATGTTTTGTATGTAGAAATTTTACGGAAAAGGTTAATAATATTATAATATATAATATAGATATACATGTAACATACAGTTTTTAATTAACGGTGTTCTAAATAAGAGACTACTTAGTACTTTTAATAAATTTAATCTTTTAGTCGTTTTGTTATTTTAAACAATACATCCAGGTTTACTATTTTTCATATACAGCACATTGAATTTTACACTGATACGTGTATTACGTATTTACGTATCTCAAGCATTACACGTGGCTAAGCACTATACTTAATACTTATATGTAAAATTGTGATGAAAATTATAACTGCATTATTCAATACTGTTATGTAAAATATATTTTTGTTTTCCTTCTAGGTTTTCGATTTCGATTAATTGTATTTTACTTTGAAATAAATAAATAATATACTGAGGAGTCAAAATATAAACGAATATAACTGGCCAAAAATATGTGTTTCTAGGCATAGACATTTTAGTATGTATTGTCGACTATTGTTGTAATTATTTTGAATTGAGCTTATATATTCTATTTTTTTTATCGTTTATTATAAACTCAAATAAATGTTTAGGCAATATGTTTTAACATTATTTTACAAACTTTGTAAAAGTTTATATTCTATTGTTTTAATGGCTGCTAGTCAAGATACACAGCCAACAAAAATGCCTTTGGACCAAATTATAAAGACTGCATTCGTTAAACGATCATCAAAAACTGTACACAAAGAATTAATGAATGAAATAATTAAGGGTTAACCAAGTCATACTTAAATATGCGTCATAATTTTCACGGTAATCAATGATAAGTTATATTTATTTATATTATGTTATGATAGGTGTATCTCTAAAAAAACCTGTTATGCTTGCACCGAGAAAACAAGAAGTTTCCAAAGAATTATCAATGATTTTGAAAAGACGTATAGCGTTTGAGTTATCAAGTTCGAGCAGCGAAAGCTTGTCCAACGATCAATCAGATGATTGGAATATTCATTATGATAATTAATTGTTTTTAATTCCGTTTTTAATAATATAAAAGCAGACATTTTTACAATTTATTGTTTATGAAATATTCTTTTGAGATTTAAATAAAAAGTCAAAATGGATTACAATATTATATAGCAGCCTATAAAGCCTATATTTCTATAAAGATAAATTTAATTCTAGTATAAAAGTCAATATTCAAATTCAAACAAAGTAAATTTAATAAAAATAATTTTTAATACTCTACCTACAACAATGTTCTATAGAACATAAAGTATACATTTAAGAACAATTTAAACTCTAAAATCTAGTTTTAATTTTATTTATCTGCAGGTGCGAGTTTGATGATAATTATATTTACTGAACATTTTCATAATTGTGCATAATATATTGAGGAAAAATATTTATCACCTGTACCTACTAGTTTTGTAATATAATTTACCTAATCTAACAGCCCTAACCTAAAAGGGTTTTTGTAATATAAAATGTAGATTCACTTTTTAATAAGACAACTTTTGATGATTTAAAATGATCCACTCTATACAACGCAGTATAGCATGTTTAAAATATTAATTTTTGTATCAGAAATCTGAATACAAGTGGCCGTGGGTTGATCGCCAAACAACGCAGTTAACAATAATTTGATACACATAAGACTTGAATTCGTAAAAAAAAGGTGATTAGAGCCTCCATCATCACACTTATATTCTAATGGATACAACTTCATCACCTTATTTACTACAGTTTACATTTAAAATATACAAATTTGTTTAAAATTATATAAATGATTGTGTTACTTATATTGCATATAAAATAAAGTAGGTAATCAAAAGTATACATTTATCGACATTAAATTAAGATTATTGCATGACTAGGTAATTATATGATTAATTTTTACCAAATAAATACCTACATATAAATGGTATCTTAGTATTTTAAAATATTATTTACAATAATCATCTTATTAGAATTATATAATAGATTTCTTTTTTTGTTAAATAAAAGTGTTGATTTTAAAAAGGACGTTCAAATATTAAAAAAAAAAAATGAAATTATTATACTATTTAGTTTTCAGCCCATTATTATGAATTTATTTCAAAACAAAAATACCTATATCGTATAATACATAAATTTAAAAAAAGCTGGTAAGTGGATATCGCTCTACTGTACAGTAGGTTACAAGTGGGTCAATGTACTATAATGGATTGTATTAAACTTCAATGATATAATATCATTGTATAAGAAAAACGATTCTGAGCGGAGACGGTTTGTCAGTCTGGATATTTTATATTGTTATTATTTATTATAGCCTGTAAGTTAAATTGATATTATAATATTATAATTTTTTATTCGTTTCTATGGTGATAAACAAAGCGTTAGAAATTAAAATCCCATTTTTAGCGGTTTTTTGTAATTTGACGGTGGTTTTTCTCGTGGCATTTAATAACTATTGAGAAAATCGAAAAATGACCTTTCCTCTCTAAATAACCATTTTGATCCGATTTTCTAAAATATAAGATACTATATGTTGAAATCGAAGCACCCCTTCTGGTAGAAATTGTGTATACAGGATAAAAATAATAAATATTAAAAATAAAAAAATAAACACCATTGTAAAATAACTAGCTTCCTCAATCTAAAATGTAATCACACTCTAGTGTCTACTGTCTAGTAGGTAACGTATTAGGTGCCTGCTCTACAGTTAAGAATATACAACTAATGAACGGCATTCAATAGTAAAATGTGGAACTTATAATATATTAATATTTCACCGATAAATAAATAATAACCCAAGATATAGATACAACAATTTACAAAATTATGCACAATAAATAAACTAATTAAATATTTTACTTTTATATTAATTAATATAATTGATTAGTAGAGTCAGAAAATGCATTAATGTTATATAATATAATTATTCATGAAGGTAATATAAAAATATAATACAATATTTTGTTAAAAT